GAAAATAATGCTCTATATATGGTAGGACCAGAAGGGTGTAGTGTATCGTGAACTATTAAAACAGAGCCAAACCATCACTGCCGAACTTTACCAACAACGATTGATCCGTTTAAACAATGCATTGAAGAATAAGAGGCCGGAATATGCAAAGAGATACGACAAAGTGATCTTCCAGCACGATAACGCTCGGCCACATGAAGGAAAGATTGTGAAGGCCACCTTGGAAGTACTTGGCTGGGATATTTTACCTCCCCGCCACATTCACGAGACATTGCTCCATCCGATTATCATTTGTTCAGATCGATGGCACACGTGCTTTCGGACCAGCACTTCAACAATTATGAAGAAATAGAGAAATGGCTCAATGAATGGATCGCTTCGAAGGACGAGTCGTTTTTTCGTCACGGAATGCAAACAACTGCCCGACAGATGGGAAAAAATAGCAAGCGATGGCAAATACTTTGATTAGTGTACTTTTTCATGTTTTTTCATACTAAAGTTTTTGTTTTGGAAGAAAAAAATGGACCGAATTAATTCATACACCTAATAGTAGAAATAATATAGTAGAAACTGGGAGAAAAAATACTTAAGAAGTAAAAAATATTTATTCAGTGGGTACTAATGAAATATTCATTTATTATACAGAATGTGTAAAAAGTCCCGGGACGGCGAAACATCTGGAAAACTAAACATTTTAGAAAAAAATGTTTTAGACAAAATCATATGGTTTCAAGGAGGACATAACATCCATGAAACAACTATATCATTTTGTTTACAAATGGTACCACTTTCGAGATATTCACTGATCATTACTTTTCTTAAATGGAAATCCCAATTTTTTATTATATCATCTTTTTCAATTAATTTTACCAATTAATTTTAATAACTTTTGCAATATTCAACTTACGATATTTCGCTAACTATTTGTTGGAAGAAAAAATAGTACGAGACTTTTTTACTCTATTTGGTCTCAAGAATATATTGTTACAATAGTGACCTAACTTTTGTGAACTTATCGACCTTGGAAATTTCAAAATCATAAAACTAATATAATATATATATATATATATATATATATATATATATACTATTATAATATAATAATGTAATAATATATTCTTGTCAAATAGAATAAAAAACTGTAGTGCCACTTTTTCTCTCGACAAATTAAAAGTTAGCGAGATATCGTAAATTAAATATTGAAAAAAGTTATCAAGTTTTCCTTAAATAACTATGAAAAAAATTATCAAGTTTTCCTCAAAAAATATTAGGCAAGTAAAAAAATGTTTCGGGCAAAAGTTATCAAAATTAATTGGTAGAAAAAGATAATGTAATAAAAGATTGGGATTTCCATCTGAGGAAAGTAATGATCAGTGAATGTCTCGAAAGTGGCGCCATCTGTAAATAAAATAACATGGTTGTTTTATGTCTCCCTTGAAACCGCACAACTTTCATTCGAAAAAATTTTTTCCAAGATGCTTAATTTTCGAAATATTTCGCCCGGTATTTTTTATACATTTTTACATCGAGCAAAGAAACGTTGCCAAATCAGAAGATTTACATCTTCTTAAAACTGTAGTTTTTCATGAAAGCGATCGCTTATTCTATCTGAATGAAAGAATACTTGAATTCAAGTATTTATTCAAGTAGCGAAGTGGCAGGTACCTGCAGTAACGAGAAAAAAAGGATTCCCTCGACCTATTTCATTCATGCATGAGGGGGAAGCTGAAATATTGTCGAAAAATGGGTCACGGTGGGTTAAATTGTAGTAACACAGGCGGAGCTGCAAATTGAAATTGACGGGCGGGTAACGGTGGCCAATTGGACGATCGAGTGTAAAATGTCCAAGGAATATTGCGCGCGGCGAAGGCGGTCGTTAAAGTCAGATTAGGAGAAACGCGCAGCATTCGACACGCGGCGACACGCTTTTTCACGTTCCCTCAGCACGGAGCCTCGGAAATTCGCGAGGGAGGCCGAAAAGCAACCGGTTTCGGTCGCCGTGTAGTCCCGTAGACGTTCCTTTGTGCCGGCATAAGGGTTAAAGATCCTTTTCCAAGCGGCGATTGTCTGATTCATCCGAAACCTCTCTCGTTCTCCGAGAAAGAGTCAGGTATAGCCCCGCTGCGCCGTCCGGACAGATGATAACGAGCCGGCCGAAACAGCTGGCCGCTGCATTAAGCAGCCCGTGCTTCGCCGATGGAAAATCAGACGCGCCATCGGCTATGATGATAACGTTACCCCGCTGCTGACGTTGTTCACGGAGATCACGTTGCAACAACAAGATGTCATCAGGCGAAAGTTCTTCGCATCCGTTGCTTTGTCTCGGATTACTTCGCGCTAATTCTATATATACGTCGATTTTTCGAGAACGGCTAATCAAGCGCAGGATTCATTACCGTGCTTTTATATTTAGAGCGCGCGTCCTGCGACGTAGTAATTTGATCGACGATACCCCTCGCGCTGCGCGGGACGGGCGAATCGTATCGGCAGGACACAGCTGATTGCGCGACGACGACCGAAATCTTCGATTTTTATTTCGAAGTGCGACTTCAGTTTTTCAGGGAATTTTCAATAATGCAGCGCGATGCAGGAAAATTTGTCGGCTGGAACGTTCCACTCCGATTGATGGCTTCTTCGAGTTTCCATAGAATGTTTGTTACAAAGAAACGTCGGAATGGACGAAGCCTTCTTGGATCCTGGTCAGAGACACGAAATTCTTGAAATTTCTCGAAAAGTCTCGAGGAGATACCGAGCTGCGAATGCCGAGAGAAAAGGAGATTATGAAAGGAAAAGATTATAAACGGCTGAATAATTTTTCGAACAGAGAATAGACACCTGAAAAAAATGAGAGGAAACTTCTTGATTTTCGTAATTACGAATACATGGGAGAATTTTCCCAGGCTGCAGATTTCGGGATTCGGGTCTCTCGCATGGACAATGCATGTCCACCTCATGTTTCTATTCTTCTTCTCGATTGAACTTTCGAACTTTAACCGATCTTGCTGGCACAAAGAAACGCAGGGACCGAAGCCGATTGCCTCATGGTTTCCCGATGAATACTCGAAACTTCGAGAACGTGAAAAGGAGCCATTGTGTGTGTGTAGGAAACTGCAAGTTTTTCTGGCTTCAATTAAACTCCACGGTTTGTACAAAGAGTTTTAACCGAATTCTTCGACTTGGATCGAGGAACTTTAAGTGAAGACTCCTCAACTTGAGTTCCACCGTGTCTTTACATACATTATGTGTTGTTTTTTATAACAAAGAGAAAAGGAGAGAAAAAGAGAGAAATGAGAATGCTTTTAATGACAAAAGAAAATTTTTGCCAACTCTCTCTCTCTCTCTCTCTCTCTCTCTCTCGTTTTATTTCTCCGATACAGCAACCTGATAAACATTCCTTCTTCCTCTCTACCACCAACCTTTTATCTTAACTTTCTAGCGAGGGGGGAGAAGAGGAAACTAATATGAGAGTTGGGGGGAATTTTCCAGCCCGTGCTCCCTTCGCCAATTTCCACGGCACGGTAGGTACGGCCCTGCCGCCTCGCAAGATCGCCGTGCGTCTTCCACCTCTTTACCGGGGTAAATGTCAAATGGCGTGAGAGACTTGTTGCAGGCGTCTCCGCGGTTTGGGAGGAGATATTATCGTCGGGCGAGAACACTCTTTCACGCTTTGTCACGCTACGTTAAGCGTGTGAAAAGGAAGAAGGAACACGCGAGAATCAGCTTGACGCCGCTTTTCGCCCGTTTTCATTCGCGCGAGTGTTACGTCACAACGCGGGTGGGACGCGGCGATTCCGTGTCGCTGACCGGAGGAAGGAAACTCGGAAGCAACGTGTCATTTTCATTCCGAGAGGCGACATGACAAAGTCGCCGCGCGATCATAACCTGTCTGCCAATTTCCCGACACGCACGTGCTCGATTTTCTCGCCGCGTTCGACGTCGGTGGCGTGTCCATATTGTGTGTGTGTGTGTGTGTGCGAGCGCATCTATTATTTATACTTTCCACGGTCTCGATTTTTACCATGCACCCTCGACAAAATCAAAAACGTTTCGACTACGAGTCCATCGGGTAGAGCAGAAAATCGCGATACATCGAAATGTTCAAATTACAATCGGATAGCGAATTATTTTACGATCATGCACAACGATACAGCACAAAAAGTTGCAGCAACATTGCTGTAACTTTTTAATCTTGTAATATGCACTTTGGTGCTGTATGGGTCTCTTCTCGTCATTTTCACGCCATCATGATTCTCTATTCCGCTTCGCTTTCATTTTCTAATCGCGACACGAGACTGTATTCAAGTCGGATCTTATATTTAAGACCTCAAGTCGATCTTCGGAGATATTCCGTGGCCGAGACGAAGAGACTCGCGTAATGGCCGGAGATGAGGCTAAGACGTCCCCAAGTACGAATACCGCTGATGATATAAATACAATAAAAGTGAATATCGAGTCAGGCGACGTCTCAAGCGCTGCCTCGCGCCGACACGGAAAGGGGTACCTGCGGGCCGACGAGCGGCCCTTTTCGCATTCCACGTCGCACAGACCCGTCCGTCATAGGGCTACGCGGACTGGGGGAAAGGACGAGGTTAATCGCGATTAACGCCGATCGGCTGCGGCCCGCGAAACGGATCCTTGCGCGCCTCTCTCTGGTCCGCAGAGTCCCACGCTCTCGCGCGGCATCGCTGCCAGTCCCAGTCGCCATGGTAACAGCTATGCGAAGAGTCGTGTCGCGGCGCGCGCGCGTACGACGGCGCCCGAGGCTCGCCGAGGCGCGCCGAACGTGGCCGAGCCGGCACGATCGTCCGCGGGATAAAGCGCGTATGCAGCACGCCGCGACGGGCCTGCTTGGCTGGCGCGCGCGCGCACGCGCAGGAGAGAGAGAGAGAGAGAGAGAGAAGGGCACAATGACGCGACGAGGGTGCGCGCAGGAGAGCAAAGTGCCAGTGCCGTAGGTGGGGAACGAAGCCTCCCTGCTGTGCGGCAGAAGCAGCGAGAGCAGTTTCTCGGTCCCCGACTGGCCTGTTAGCTCGCGCGAGGGAGTGAGAGGAGACGTGCGATTGGCGGCGCGCGCGAGCGAGACGGTGAGAGAGAGAGAGAGAGTGAGAGCGAAGGAGACACTCCGTGAGGGCGAAACGGAGCGAGAAAGAGACGGAGCGCGGGACGTAGAGAAAGAGAAGCAGGGAAAAGGGAGCAGCTCGTGGAACTCGCCGTGTCCTCGCATGCTGGTGTCGCGCTCGGCGTCTCGAGCGCAGCCATTACGACAGAGTCGCTCGGTGACGCTCGGTAACGCGGCGAGCATCGCGACGTGTAGCGACGCGTACGTGGATACGATATAGTGTGCTAGTCCAGTGGTGCGCGCGACAACGCTACGTGCACACGTCGTCGGCCGGTGCGGGTCAGAGTAGAGTAGTCGGAAGCTACCGACGGAAGCTACGCACGTGTATACACGCACACGAGAGAGATTACCGAACGAGCGAGCGAGAGAGAGAGAGAGAGAGAGAGAGAGAGAGAGACAGAGTGAGTGAGCGAGCGAGCGAGCGAGCGAGTTAACCGTGTCGCCGGCGAGATCGGCAACCGTAAGATCGGCGTAACCCTGTTTGTTGTCGCCGCCGCCTTCTCCGCCGTCGAGGGGTTGGCGTGAGAACGAGATCTCTCGACGTCGCCTGGACGAGGTCGCTCTCGCGCGACTCGCACGACCGGACTCGATCTCTCGATCGGGACGTGACGAACGAACGTACGCGCGCGCGCGCGCGAGAATAGTCAGTCGAGGGGAGTTTTTGTTGGTGAAGAGAGAAGAAGGTAACGCGCGACAGCCATGTTTGACGTGTTCGGCTCCGTGAAGGGGCTGCTGAAGCTCGACTCGGTATGCATCGACAACAATGTGTTTCGGCTGCACTACAAGGCCACCGTGATCACTCTGGTGGCGTTCTCCTTGTTGGTGACCTCACGGCAGTATATCGGCGACCCGATCGACTGCATCGTCGACGACATACCGTTGCACGTGATGGACACCTACTGCTGGATCTACTCGACCTTCACGATCCCGGACCGAACCGGCATCGTCGGCAAGGACATGGTGCAGCCCGGGGTCGCCTCGCACATCGAGGGGAAGGATGAGGTAAAATACCACAAGTACTACCAGTGGGTCTGCTTCACCCTCTTCTTCCAAGCGATACTCTTCTACATTCCGCGCTACCTGTGGAAAAACTGGGAGGGCGGCCGCATCAAGATGCTGGTGCTCGACCTCAACTGCCCGGTGGTCAGCGAGGACTGCAAGAGCGACCGGCGCAAGCTCCTAGTGGACTACATCACGTCGAACCTGCACATGCAGAACTTCTACGCGTACCGCTTCTTCCTCTGCGAGGTGCTCAACTTCATCAACGTGTTCGGCCAGATCTACTTCATGGACTTCTTCCTCGAGGGCGAGTTCACCACCTACGGCTCCGACGTCGTCAGGTTTACCGAGATGGAGCCGGAGGAGCGCATCGACCCCATGTCCAGGGTGTTCCCCAAGGTCACCAAGTGCACGTTCCACAAATACGGTCCGTCCGGCTCGGTGCAGAAGTTCGACGGCCTTTGCGTGCTGCCGCTCAACATCGTCAACGAGAAGATCTACGTTTTCCTCTGGTTCTGGTTCATCATCCTGGCGGTGCTCAGCGCCTTGAGTCTGGCCTACCGCATGGCCGTCATCCTCAGCCCGAAGCTGCGCTACGTGCTGCTGCGCGCGCGCTCCCGCCTCTCGCCGCAGGAGCAAGTCAAGATCATCTCCGACAAGTGCCAGATCGGCGACTGGTTCGTCCTATATCAGCTCGGCAAGAACATGGACCCGCTGGTCTACAAGCAGCTCATCGCCGACCTGGCGAGCAAGGTGCAGGGCAAGGAGAACGTGTAGCTCGTTCCGTCCAACGGGACCAACAGACAGCAGCAGGAGGGCCTTTTCGAGGGACTTGCGCCGTGAACTCCTCCAGGGGCTTTCCTCGTCTCTCTCTCTCTCTCTATCGAGACGAGACTACCGATTCAGTGAGAGATAAGGGGGTGGAGAGAGGGACAGGGGAGAATGAGAGAGTAATAAGACAACGGTAAGAGACAGCGTTCTCGGGGAGAAAGAGACACGCCGATGACGCCATCAGCAAGACCAACGTATCTCGCGTCTTCGCGACTGGACCGGGTTGCACCGACCGTCGCGGATTTCTCAGCCGACTCGAAACTCTAAAGCGCGATCTACAATGGCAGTAAGCAGTAAGAAGTAAGAAGTAAGCGTGAGCGGTAAGAAATCAACCAATCACAGTCGATTATGACAAAAATAATCAACTGTGGTTGGTCCATTTCTTACTGTTCACGCTTTCTTCTTACTGCTTACGGCCATTGTAGACCACGCTTAATAGTCTCATACCTTTTCGGCGCAGGCAAGGGTTGCGGTGCGGTGGGGGGGGGAGGGGGGACAAGGGAAGCTTCGTGGACAAGTCGCGCTGAGACCAAGACTCGAGCTTCATCTTCGGTCGTTTTTCAATCGGCTTCGTTCGATGCGTCGAGAAAACTAGAAAAAGAGGGAGAGGGGAGAGAGAGAGAGAGAGAGAGAGAGAGAGAGAGAGAGAGAGAGAGAGAGAGAAAGGAAGAATATATCGTCGAGACGAGAGCTTCAGCGGAGAGTTGAGCGAGTCGGCGTATGCGGGAGTGCGCGAACCTTGCCTGCCCCCCTAGATATTGTAGCTAGATAATTACGTAGACTTAATTGTGCACAAAGACGGGCGTCCGATTCGGTCACACGTCGGCTCGCTCGACGTCGGTGCAACCGGGCCTCGCTTTAGGTAGTAGTCAGGCCGGGATTCTTACGTGTCTCTCGCCGTCCTTCTCGCTTCCATTCGGCGCGCCGGGCGCGCTGCAGTCGAGACAAAGCGCGCCGTTCCTCTCTTTCTTTCTCTCTCTCTCTCTCTCTCTCTCTCTCTCTCTCTCTCTCTCTCTCTCTCTCTCTCTCTCTCTCTCTCTCTCTCCCTCGCTCGCTCTCTGTCTCCGTCTTTCGCAGCGAACTCTCCTCGTCTTCGGATCCTTTCACCCGCGCAGAGTTTCTCTTCGATTTTGCGCGATCGCTCCTCCGCTGGATTCCTGCTCGTCCCTCTCTCTCTCTCTTTCTCTCTCTCTCTCTCTGTTGTCTCGCCAGCGGCCATGTGCAGTCCCCGGGCCCGGGGCCCGGGGCCGAGAGAGACCACCGAGATTGCCTGGGCCCATTGTCGAGCGACCGTGCGGTGTCGTTCGGTTCTCTTTTTTATTTTCATTTTCATTTTACTCCCCGAGCGATCTCGCGCGTCCGCGAGCAGCGAGAGAGAGAGAGAGAGAGAGAGAGAGAGCAAGCGGCCTCGGAGATGATCTCTCTCTTTGCCCCAGCGTGCCTCGCTCTCCGTCATTTAACCTGACTTCGTTGTCCAATTGAGTCCCGCTATTTGTTCGCCAGCAACCGTCGTTCGGCGCAAAGTGCCGCGCTTGCGCACTCGCGTACACTTTTCGTCGGGTCCGTTTTCTTCGAGATGCAAGAGAGCTTCTCTTTCCTTCTCGCCCTCCGTCTCTCTCGCTCTTCCTTCTTATCGCGGCTCGAGGCTGAGATACGACGCTCGAGAGAATTTTTTCCTCGCGACGAGCTCTCTTCCCCCTTTCCCGCTCGCACACGCAATCACGCATAATCGAGCGCGGTTATTCGTCCGAGCCGCCTCGCTCTTTCTCTCCTTCGTATCGCGAGAAGCTCCTCTTTCGGGACACTCGCGCGCGCGCAGGAACAAAAATTCGCCGTTCCGCGAAGCGCCTCGCCGGCATTCCTGCCGAGCGAGCGCTCGTATGTGCGCATGTACGTTCGTTACACCCGGTGGAACGACCTGTCTCGTAAGAACAGTGCGGGAACGAGAAAGAGACGGAGGTAGACTGCCCGAGGAGAGAGAGAGGAGGCGAGGAGAGAGACGCTGGCGCGCGTAGGAGAAAGACAAGAAGGAACGGCGTTATCGCCGTCAGCCGATAAGAGAAGCATTATTTTCGGGTTCCACCGTTCCGGATTCGCGGTGCGTTGCTCAACGACGGCGAGGATAGCCGCGGGGCCCGCTCCCAGTATTCCCGGGGCCCGACGCTCTCCTCGTAGAGAACCTGGGCGCATTCGTGTGATAAAACGGGGCACGGCGTTCGTGTTCATACGGCGTCTCGCCTCGCTCGCGCGTTCCTCGCTTTTGCTTCTTTTTCTCGCCCTTTTTCTTTGTTCCCTTCTTCGAGCGACTTCTTCAGGCCTGCGGAGGGCCCACGCGCGCGCGACTGCTGTTATCGCGGGCCCCGCAGTTTCTCGACCTGCACGTCGTCGTTTTTATTCAGTAGTCTCTCTCTCTCTCTCTCTCTCTCGCTCACGCTTGCGCTCGCACGCCCCCTCTCACCCGTGCGAGTTCGTTTCTAACCTAATTTATCCTTTCTCGTGTTTGCGTCCGTTTTTTTCTCCTGCAGTTTGATTTTCCCTCGTACGCTAAGTATTAGTATTTCCGTAGGATTGTGCGTGTATATCGTAGGTTTTTTGTGTGTGTAGAATAGTTAGAGAGAGAGAGAGAGAGAGAGAGAGAAAAGGGGAGGGGGAGAGGGATGGAGCAAGCCATGCGAGCGTGTGTGTACGAATGCGTGAGTACTGTGTGAACGCGCGTATGTGTGTATATGTGTGTGTTTAGATTGTTACAACGCGCACTTCCGTCTTCTTTTGTATCTCATCATTCCAAACACAAAAGACATGCGCACAATTTTGTACGTAAATAATTCGCGAGAGGTGGTCAGGGGGTGTGAGCGATTCCAACACTGCGGTGTTGTACATTTCAGGGGTGGGGAGGGTTTCTTTTTTTATGCTATATGAAATCTCGACGGGGACCAGAAGGGGATCAAGCTGTGACGAGAGCCGCGCGAGCGCGCGCGCTCTCTCTTTACTCATCCTGCGGATTCCATTTTACAATATACGTTTTTCGAGAGAGAACGAACGCCTGTAATTTAGTGTGTCGAGGAACGGAGAGGAAGAAACCACGCGCTGGTCTCGAGGGACCAACGCCGCCATTGCTGTTGCGTCAGCGAGACGTCTTGCGGGGCGACGTGCGAGCCATCAGATGCGAAATCGCGGGTAAGTGAGGCGCGGAGGTGCGGACCTGGGACGTAACCTGGCTGCTGTTATCAGTCCGGCCTTCCGACGCGAGTTATTCGGGTTTCAAGGCCGAGCCTGAAGACGCTCGTGGAATTCGTCTGCCTTCGGAGACGCCATTCACTCGAAATCCGAGCGTGCCGGGAGTTTCCACGTTCGAATCCAAAGGCCAAGGCGAGACTAGAATCCGCGGAGCTCGGCGCGCGTCCCGCCGCCGTGCCGCTCCCCCCGCGCCATTTTTTCACCGAAGGAAGTATCGGTCGAGTGGGATCGGTTTTCCGGTGAAACACCAACGATTCGGGAACTCCAGAATCCGGGAATTCCTTTTCCGTGTGTTTCGCCGGAGGATCGTTCCTTCAGCCGAGCTTCGCCCTGCCTCGCTGCTCTTTCTCGAGGAACTTCCCCGGCAAGCTAAAGCGCAGCTCTGTCTCGCACGTGAAGGCACGCACGTACGCACCGGCATCTCGCCGATGTGTTCACGGCGGGAGTCGTGTTACCATCTCCGAGACGACGACGCGCCCGTGCCGCTCGATAGCGGTCGAAACGTGCCGGCGGCTTGTCAAGAAGAACAAAAAAAGGAGAGATTGTCCGTCCGTAAGAAACGCCGTAAGATTCCACGCCGAAGGTGGTGTCTCGTCTCGCGCATCGAGCTCTGTTGAGATAACAATACACGGGAGATAAATCGTACAATCAGCCTGTTCGGTGAATCAACGTCGTTAGACTATGTGGTGCGTATGTGTGTGTATGTGTGTGTGATAACTAGCGCTCAAATTACGCGATAGCGTGGGTTTACCTTCTGTTTTCCAGAAGGACACCGATATTGCCGGACTATGATCCCTTTCGATCTCCCTCGTGTCCTTCAGCGATGGGCATCTGCACGCGGAAGTGACGCACCGTGGGCTCTACATTTTGTGTCGATGGGCGAGTAAAAGGTTTATGGAGGGATACGAAAATCAAAAAATACGCACACATGTGTATATATAATTATCATTTTAATACAATATTATTAATATAATCACATTAATATTATATATATAATATTATATTAATTATATTAATATATATTATATATATATAATATTATATTAATTAATATTATATTAATATCACATTAATATTATATATATATATATATATATGTAATATTAATATTATATCAATTAGAGAACATTATATATACAATATCAAATTGTCACACATATCAAACAATTCGACGGGGCAATTTCCCTCAGGGAGTGCTCTCGGGTTAATCCTGCGTTCTATTCGCGGAGGATCTTCCGGCGCTCGGACGCCGTCAGAAGACGCCCACCTTCGGCGTTGAGCGGCGTGCGGAAGGTAGACGAGGGAGAGCGACGCGGTGATGAGCGCTCGAAGACTGCCAGGTGAGGTAGTACGGCGGCGAGGTAGAATCGAAGGCGAAGAGAAAAGGCTTTTCCGCGAGCTTTCCGAGTTGGAGGGAACGTGCACGAGAAGATCGCATAATGTTGCAACTTGTGTTTCCTTCCGCCTGGAGTCGCGTCGGCGGAGGCGTTTCTTCCTCGCCTCGCTTCATTCCCGTTCCCGTTCCACGGCGCGATAAGGACACGATTATTCCCAGTCAACGATTTCACTCGCTTCAGCTGTTATTTAGAGAAAAATCGACCGCGACGTTAGCGATATGCGTTATTAGCTCTAAGGATGATGATAAGTGCCTGGTTAGGTTAGCGTTTAGGTATATGTTATACGTATTATATACTCAAGCGTGTTTGTTTTTTTGTTTTCTTTTTTTCCTTCAGTAATAGCTCATCGACATTCCGACGAGACAAGACTGCGGTTGTTCCCGGGCGAAGATCCCCGCCGCGCAATTTCTGCGTTTCGCGATGTCAGAGGATCCTCTTGCCAACACGCGAAATAGCGTGTCCTTTGGTCGACGAGAGCGGCTCTCGTCTCGGGGCCGTTCTCGTCGGCGGAAGAGAGATCGGGATAGAAAGGGGCGCTCGGGATCGAAAGAAGGACGAATGGTGTCGCATTGCCATTAGAATCCTTTGGGCTCTTCAGTTCTTCCACGTGACCGCGCGGCGAATCGGCTCGCAGCCGCGTCGACTATCAAAGTTTTGACGCCGCGCGCATGTGACCGAGAGAGAGAGAGAGAGAGAGAGAGAGAAAGCA